ATTATAGTGATGATAACTGTACATGTCTGTGGTGTCAACAGTAACACCATCAGTGTGGATGTACAGTGTGAGTATATTATAGTGATGATAACTGGACACGTCTGTGGTGTCAACACCATCGGTGTGGATGTACAGTGTGAGTATATTATAGTGATGATAACTGGACACATCTGTGGTATCAACACCATCAGTGTGGATGTACAGTGTGAGTATATTATAGTGATGATAACTGGACATGTCAGTACAGTAATGTCAACAGTAACACCATCAGTGTTGATGTACAGTGTGAGTATATTATAGTGATGATAACTGGACATGTCTGTGGTATCAAGTACAACCATCAGTGTGGATGTACAGTGTGAGTATATTATAGTGACGATAACTGGACATGTCTGTGGTGTCAAGAGTAACACCATCAGTGTGGATGTACAGTGTGAGTATGTTATAGTGATGATAACTGGACATGTCTGTGGTGTCATCACCATCAGTGTGGATGTACAGTGTGAGTATATTATAGTGATGATAACTGGACATGTCTGTGGTGTCAAGAGTACCACCATCAGTGTGGATGTACAGTGTGAGTATATTATAGTGATGATAACTGGACATGTCTGTGGTATCAACACCATCAGTGTGGATGTACAGTGTGAGTATATAATAGTGATTATAACTGGACATGTCTGTGGTGTCAACACCATCAGTTCGGATGTACAGTGTGAGTGTATTATAGTGATGATAACTGGACATGTCTGTGGTATCAACACCATTAGTGCGGATGTACAGTGTGAGTATATTATAGTGCTGATAACTGAACATGTCTGTGGTATCAACACCATGAGTGTGGATGTACAATGTGAGTATATAATAGTGATGATAACTGGACATGTCTGTTGTGTCAACACCATCGGTGTGCATGTAGAGTGTGAGTATATTATAGTGATAATAACTGGACACGTCTGTGGTATCAACACCATCAGTGTGGATGTAGAGTGTGAGTATATTATAGTGATAATAACTGGACACGTCTGTGGTATCAACACCATCAGTGTGGATGTACAATGTGAGTGTATTATAGTGATGATAACTGGACATGTGTGTGGTGTCAACACCATCAGTGTGGATGTACAGTGTGAGTATATTATAGTGATGATAACTGGACATGTCTGTGGTATCAACACCATCAGTGTGGATGTACAGTGTGAGTATATTATAGTGATGATAACTGGACATATCTGTGGTGTCAACACCATCAGTGTGGATGTACAGTGTGAGTATATTATAGTGATGATAACTGGACATGTCTGTGGTATCAACAGTAACACCATCAGTGTGATCTACAGTGTGAGTATATTATAGTGATGATAACGGGACATGTCTGTTTTGTCAAGAGTACCACCATCAGTGTGGATGTACAGTCTGAGTATATTATACTGATGATAACTGGACACGTCTGTGGTATCAACATCATCAGTGTGGATGTACAGTGTGAGTATATTATAGCGGTGATAACTGGACATGTCTGTGGTATAAACAGTAACACCATCAGTGCGATGTACAGTGTGAGTATATTATAGTGATGATAACTGGAATTGTCAGTACAGTAATGTCAACAGTAACACCATGAGTGTGCATGTACAGTGTGAGTATATTATAGTGATGATAACTGGACATGTCTGTGGTATGAACAGTAACACCAAGAGTGTGGATGTACAGTGTGAGTATATAATAGTGAAGATAACTGGACACGTCTGTTGTGTCATCAGTAACACCATCAGTGTGGATGTACAGTGTGAGTATGTTATAGTGATGATAACTGGACATGACTGTGGTGTCAACAGTACCACCGTCAGTGTTGATGTACAGTGTGAGTATAGTACAGTGATGATAACTGGACATGTCTGTGGTATCAACTGTAACACCAAGAGTGTGGATGTACAGTGTGAGTATATAATAGTGATGATAACTGGACACGTCTGTTGTGGCATCAGTAACACCATCAGTGCGGATGTACAGTGTGAGTATGTTATAGTGATGATAACTGGACATGACTGTGGTGTCAACAGTACCACCGTCAGTGTTGATGTACAGTGTGAGTATATTAAGGTAATGATAACTGGAGATGTCTGTGGTATCAACAGTAACACCAACGGTGTGGATGTACAGTGTGAGTATATTATAGTCATGATAACTGGACATGGCTGTGCTGTCAACAATACCACCGTCAGTGTTGATGTACAGTGTGAGTATATTATAGTGATGATAACTGGACATGTCTGTGGTATCGACAGTAACACCATCAGTGTGGATGTACGGAGTGAGTGCATTATAGTGATGATAACTGGACATGTGTGCGGTGTCGAGAGTAACACCATCATTGTGGATGTTCAGTGTGAGTATATTATAGTGATTATAACTGGACATGTCTGTGGTGTCAACACCATCAGTTCGGATGTACAGTGTGAGTGTATTATAGTGATGATAACTGGACATGTCTGTGGTATCAACACCATTAGTGCGGATGTACAGTGTGAGTATATTATAGTGCTGATAACTGAACATGTCTGTGGTATCAACACCATGAGTGTGGATGTACAATGTGAGTATATAATAGTGATGATAACTGGACATGTCTGTTGTGTCAACACCATCGGTGTGCATGTAGAGTGTGAGTATATTATAGTGATAATAACTGGACACGTCTGTGGTATCAACACCATCAGTGTGGATGTAGAGTGTGAGTATATTATAGTGATAATAACTGGACACGTCTGTGGTATCAACACCATCAGTGTGGATGTACAATGTGAGTGTGTTATAGTGATGATAACTGGACATGTGTGCGGTGTCGAGAGTAACACCATCATTGTGGATGTTCAGTGTGAGTATATTATAGTGATTATAACTGGACATGTCTGTGGTGTTCACACAATCAGTGTGGATGTACAGTGTGAGTATATTATAGTGATGATAACTGGACATGTCTGTGGTGTCAACAGTAACACCATCAGTGTGGATGTACAGTGTGAGTATATTATAGTGATGATAACTGAACATATCTGTGGTGTCAACACCATCAGTGTGGATGTACAGTGTGAGTATATTATAGTGATGATAACTGGACATGTCTGTGGTATCAACAGTAACACTATCAGTGTGGATGTACAGTGTGAGTATATTATAGTGATGATAACTGGACATGTCTGTGATATCAACTGTAACACCATCAGTGTGGATGTACAGTGTGAGTATATTATAGTGATGATAACTGGACACGTCTGTTGTGTCATCAGTAACACCATCAGTGTGGATGTACAGTGTGAATATATTATAGTGATGATAACTGGACATGACTGTGGTGTCAACAGTACCACCATCAGTGTGGATGTACAGTGTGAGTATATTATAGTGATGATAACTGGACATGTCTGTGGTATCAACAGTAACACCATCAGTGTGGATGTACAGTGTGAGTATATTATAGTGATGATAACTGGACATGACTGTGGTGTCAACAGTACCACCGTCAGTGTTGATGTACAGTGTGAGTATATTATAGTGATGATTACTGGACATGTCTGTGGTATCAACACCTTCAGTTTGGATGTACAGTGTCAGTATATTATAGTGATGATTACTTGACAGGTCTCTGGTAACAACAGTAACACCATCAGTGTGGATGTACAGTGTGAGTATATTATAGTGATGATAACTGGACATGTCTGTGGTATCAACAGTACCACCAAGAGTGTGGATGTACAGTGTGAGTATATTATAGTGAAGATAACTGGACACGTCTGTTGTGTCATCAGTAACACCATCAGTGTGGATGTACAGTGTGAGTATGTTATAGTGATGATAACTGGACATGACTGTGGTGTCAACAGTACCACCGTCAGTGTTGATGTACAGTGTGAGTATATTATAGTGATGATAACTGGACATGTCTGTGGTATCAACAGTAACACCAAGAGTGTGGATGTACAGTGTGAGTATATAATAGTGATGATAACTGGACACGTCTGTTGTGTCATCAGTAACACCATCAGTGCGGATGTACAGTGTGAGTATGTTATAGTGATGATAACTGGACATGACTGTGGTGTCAACAGTACCACCGTCAGTGTTGATGTACAGTGTGAGTATATTATAGTGATGATAACTGGACATGTCTCTGGTATCAACAGTAACACCAAGAGTGTGGATGTACGGAGTGAGTGCATTATAGTGATGATAACTGGACATGTGTGCGGTGTCGAGAGTAACACCATCATTGTGGATGTTCAGTGTGAGTATATTATAGTGATTATAACTGGACATGTCTGTGGTGTCAACACCATCAGTTCGGATGTACAGTGTGAGTGTATTATAGTGATGATAACTGGACATGTCTGTGGTATCAACACCATTAGTGCGGATGTACAGTGTGAGTATATTATAGTGCTGATAACTGAACATGTCTGTGGTATCAACACCATGAGTGTGGATGTACAATGTGAGTATATAATAGTGATGATAACTGGACATGTCTGTTGTGTCAACACCATCGGTGTGCATGTAGAGTGTGAGTATATTATAGTGATAATAACTGGACACGTCTGTGGTATCAACACCATCAGTGTGGATGTAGAGTGTGAGTATATTATAGTGATGATAACTGGACACGTCTGTGGTATCAACACCATCAGTGTGGATGTACAATGTGAGTGTGTTATAGTGATGATAACTGGACATGTGTGTGGTGTCAACACCATCAATGTGAATGTTCAGTGTGAGTATATTATAGTGATGATAACTGGACTCGTCTGTGGTATCAACAGTAACACCATCAGCGTGATAAACAGTGTGAGTAAATTATCTTGATGATAACTGGACACGTCTGTGGTATCAACACCATCAGTGTGGACGTACAGTGTGAGTATATTATAGCAGTGATAGCTGGACATGTCTGTGGTATCAACAGTAACACCATCAGTGTGATCTACAGTGTGAGTATATTATAGTGATGATGACTGGACATGTCAGTACAGTAATGTCAACAGTAACACCATCAGTCTTGATGTACAGTGTGACTATATTATACTGATGATAACTGGACACGTCTGTGGTATCAACATCATCAGTGTGGATGTACAGTGTGAGTATATTATAGTGATGATAACTGGATACGTCTGTGGTATTTACACCATCACTGTGGATGTACAGTGTGAGTATATTATAGCGGTGATAACTGGACATGTCTGTCGTATAAACAGTAACACCATCAGTGCGATGTACAGTGTGAGTATATTATAGTGATGATAACTGGAATTGTCAGTACAGTAATGTCAACAGTTGCACCATGAGTGTGCATGTACAGTGTGAGTATATTATAGTGATGATAACTGGACATGTCTGTGGTATCAACAGTAACACCAAGAGTGTGGATGTACAGTGTGAGTATATAATAGTGAAGATAACTGGACACGTCTGTTGTGTCATCAGTAACACCATCAGTGTGGATGTACAGTGTGAGTATGTTATAGTGATGATAACTGGACATGACTGTGGTGTCAACAGTACCACCGTCAGTGTTGATGTACAGTGTGAGTATAGTACAGTGATGATAACTGGACATGTCTGTGGTATCAACTGTAACACCAAGAGTGTGGATGTACAGTGTGAGTATATAATAGTGAAGATAACTGGACACGTCTGTTGTGGCATCAGTAACACCATCAGTGCGGATGTACAGTGTGAGTATGTTATAGTGATGATAACTGGACATGACTGTGGTGTCAACAGTACCACCGTCAGTGTTGATGTACAGTGTGAGTATATTATAGTAATGATAACTGGAGATGTCTGTGGTATCAACAGTAACACCAACGGTGTGGATGTACAGTGTGAGTATATTATAGTCATGATAGCTGGACATGGCTGTGCTGTCAACAATACCACCGTCAGTGTTGATGTACAGTGTGAGTATATTATAGTGATGATAACTGGACATGTCTCTGGTATCAACAGTAACACCATCAGTGTGGATGTACGGAGTGAGTGCATTATAGTGATGATAACTGGACATGTGTGCGGTGTCGAGAGTAACACCATCATTGTGGATGTTCAGTGTGAGTATATTATAGTGATTATAACTGGACATGTCTGTGGTGTCACCACCATCAGTTCGGATGTACAGTGTGAGTGTATTATAGTGATGGTAACTGGACATGTCTGTGGTATCAACACCATTAGTGCGGATGTACAGTGTGAGTATATTATAGTGCTGATAACTGAACATGTCTGTGGTATCAACACCATGAGTGTGGATGTACAATGTGAGTATATAATAGTGATGATAACTGGACATGTCTGTGGTATCAACAGTGACACTATCAGTGTGGATGTACGGTGTGAGTGTGTTATAGTGATGATAACTGGACATGTGTGCGGTGTCGAGAGTAACACCATCATTGTGGATGTTCAGTGTGAGTATATTATAGTGATTATAACTGGACATGTCTGTGGTGTTCACACAATCAGTGTGGATGTACAGTGTGAGTATATTATAGTGATAATAACTGGACACGTCTGTGGTATCAACACCATCAGTGTGGATGTACAATGTGAGTGTGTTATAGTGATGATAACTGGACATGTGTGCGGTGTCGAGAGTAACACCATCATTGTGGATGTTCAGTGTGAGTATATTATAGTGATTATAACTGGACATGTCTGTGGTGTTCACACAATCAGTGTGGATGTACAGTGTCAGTATATTATAGTGATGATAACTGGACATGTCTGTTGTGTCAACAGTACCACCATCAGTTTGGATGTATAGTGTGAGTATATTATAGTGATTTTAACTGAACATATCTGTGGTGTCAACACCATCAGTGTGCTTGTACAGTGTGAGTATATTATAGTGATGATAACTGGACATGTCTGTGGTATCAACAGTGACACTATCAGTGTGGATGTACGGTGTGAGTTTATTATAGTAATGATTACTGGACATGTCTGTGATATCAACTGTAACACGAAGAGTGTGGATGTACAGTGTGAGTATATAATAGTGAAGATAACTGGACACGTCTGTTGTGTCATCAGTAACACCATCATTTTGGATGTACTGTGTGAATATATTATAGTGATGATAACTGGACATGACTGTGGTGTCAACAGTACCACCGTCAGTGTTGATGTACAGTGTTAGTATATTAAGGTGATGATAACTAGATAAGTCTGTGGTATCAACAGTAACACCAACAGTGTAGATGTTCAGTGTGAGTATATTATAGTGATGATAACTGGACATGACTGTGGTGTCAACAGTACCACCGTCAGTGTTGATGTACAGTGTGAGTATATTATAGTGATGATTACTGGACATGTCTGTGGTATCAACACCTTCAGTTTGGATGTACAGAGTCAGTATATTATAGTGATGATTACTTGACAGGTCTCTGGTAACAACAGTAACACCATCAGTGTGGATGTACAGTGTGAGTATATTATAGTGATGATAACTGGACATGTCTGTGGTGTCAACAGTAACACCATCAGTCTTGATGTACAGTGTGAGTATATTGTAGTGATGATAACTGGACATGTCTGTTGTGTCAACAGTACCACCACCGGTGTGGATGTACAGTGTAAGTATATTATAGTGACGATAACTGAACATGTGTGTGGTGTCAACACCATCAGTGTGGATGTACAGTGTGAGTATATTATAGTGATGATAACTGGACATATCTGTGGTATCAACACCAACAGTGTGGATGTACAGTGTGAATATAGTACAGTGATTGTAACTGGACATGTCTGTGGTATCAACTGTAACACCAAGAGTGTGGATGTACAGTGTGAGTATATAATAGTGAAGATAACTGGACACGTCTGTTGGTTCATCAGTAACACCATCAGTGTGGATGTACAGTGTGAGTATATTATAGTGATGATAACTGGACATGTCTGTGGTGTCAACAGTAACACTATCAGTGTGGATGTACGGAGTGAGTACATTATAGAGATGATAACTGGGCATGTCAGTGCAGTAATGTCAACAGTAACACCATCAGTCTTGATGTACAGTGTGAGTATATTATAGTGATGATAACTGGACATGTCTGTTGTGTCAAGAGTACCACCATCATTGTGGATGTACAGTGTGAGTATATTATAGTGATGATAACTGGACATGTGTGTGGTGTCAAGAGTAACACCATCAGTGTTGATGTACAGTGTGAGTATATTAAAGTTATTATAACTGGACATGTCTGTGGTGTCAACACCATCAGTGTGGATGTAGAGTGTGAGTATATTATAGTGATGATAACTGGACATGACTGTGGTGTCAACAGTACCACCGTCTGTGTTGATGTACAGTGTGAGGTTGTTCCCGGTATTTGGACAGCATCGCATGAACGCAACCATCAACAATAGCGTGCGCCTGCACGTGGACTTGTCAGCTGTGTCGTGTGATTGTTTCTCGATTGTAGTCAGTCTCGTCTTTGTCTTCGTCAAGTAAACGTCTGTTATTTGTACACCTGTGTTGCGTGTTATGTGGGCCTGAAGACCTTACAGTGGTGGCAGCGGTGGGATATTGTGGACACATGGAAGGACTTTGAAGGAAGTGGGACTTTCAGAAGAATTTCACGGAATGTGCTCATGGAACTGTGACGTGAGTTTGTTCCATTTTGCCATTTTGACCTTGTGGTTGAACTTTTTCGTCTTCTGTGTGAATGACATTGAACATTCAAGCAAGAATACTCTTCATTTCATCATGGCTGAAGGTGGTATAAGTCAAGAACATTCTGGCGATATCAAGCATTTCAAAATTCCTCTGTTTGATCCCAACCGGTCAACCTTTGCGAACTTTATTGAAAATGTGTATGAAGTGAAAGCTTGGGGCCTAAACTGGAACTCTGATAAAAAGTTACGTGGCTTAGCTTTAGTACTTCCTGCAGGGTTTTGCTCACGAGTATTCAACGATGTTTCTGATGAAAACAAAACTGATTATGCAAGTCTGAAAGCCGCTTTGATTAAAGAACTTCATAGAACCCAAGAGCGTACTCAAACTGCTGCAAGAGAGTTCAGAGACATGTGTCAAAAACCCCATGAATCCATTGATGATTTCGCCCACCGTCTTCAGGTTAAGGTTGATGAAACATACCCCTTATTCGCAAAAAGCACACAAAAAGTTGATTCTTCAGTTACACAACGTGAGGTAGCTGAAATAGTGGAGAAATGTACTGTGTGTATAGAGGGTCCACATGCTATAGCAAGGTCTCCGTTAGGTGTTACTGTTACTGCTTCGCGTCCTTGGGAGGTTCTTCATTGTGATTTTGTTGGCCCACTTCCACGTTCGTCTTGTGGTTATTTGTATGTGTTTACATGTTTAGATGATTTGAGTAGGATGTTTTTCGCCTTTCCAGTTCGTACGGCGACGACATCTAGTGCAACAACAGTGCTTGAACGTCTGTTTTCCATATTTGGTCCACCCAGTGTTTTACATATAGATAATGGTACTGTTTTTACATCAAAAGAGTTTTGTGTGTTTACTTCCAAGTGGGGAGTTACATGCAGTTATACTCCAGTTGCTAGACCTCAGGCTAATCCAGTTGAAAGAGCTCACAGAACATTAAAAACGTCTTTAGTGAAAACAGCAGAGTGTGACAAAACGTAGGACAGAGTTTTGCCAGAAATTGTGTTAGCACATAATTCGTTGTTAAATCGTACCACGGGTTTCGCTCCCTATTTTGTTATGTTTGGTCGTAACAGTTTGATTCATCAATTAGTGTCAGACGATGTTTCCTCTGTGGGGGAGGAGATGGATAGCTGTGTAGAGGTGTGGGATATGTGTGTCGAATCCCATACGTCGGCTAAATTCCATCGCCAGGAGCAGACATCACAAAGAGTGTCAAAGATGTTTAATGTTGGTGATCGTGTTGCAGTCAAAATATTAGGAGGACACAAGTTCAAGAAACAACATTTCAAGTCCGGATTTGTGGTATCCAAGTGTTATGGTGAGTTCCTAAAAGTCAAGTCATCTGATCGTTCATCGAGAGAAACAGTCGTCGTTAGTGTTGATCAAGTCGTGCCAGACCTTTCTTGAGAGGGGAGGGATGTGAGGTTGTTCCCGGTATTTGGACAGCATCGCATGCACGCAACCATCAACAATAGCGTGCGCCTGCACGTGGACTTGTCAACTGTGTCGTGTGATTGTTTCTCGATTGTAGTCAGTCTCGTCTTTGTCTTCGTCAAGTAAACGTCTGTTATTTGTACACCTGTGTTGCGTGTTATGTGGGCCTGAAGACCTTACAACAGTGTGAGTATATTATAGTGATGATAACTGGATGTGTCTGTGGTATCAACAGTAACACCATTAGTGTGGATGTACAGTGTGAGTATATTATAGAGATGATAACTGGACATGTCTGTGGTATCAACACCATCAGTGTGGATGTACAGTGTGAGTATATTATAGTGCTGATAACTGGACATGTCTCTGGTGTCAACACCTTCAGTGTGGATGTACAGTGTCAGTATATTATAGTGATGATAACTGGACATGTGTATGGTGTCAACACCATCAGTGTTGATGTACAGTGTGAGTATATTATAGTGATGATAACTGGACATGTGTGTGGTGTCAACACCATCAGTGTGGATTTACAGTGTGAGTATATTATAGTGATGATAACTGGACATGTGTGTGGTGTCAACACCATCAGTGTGGATGTTCAGTGTGGGTATATTATAGTGATGATAACTGGACATGTCTGTGGTATCAACACCATCAGTGTGGATGTACAGTGTGAGTCTATTATAGTGATGATAATTGGACATGTCTCTTGTATCAACAGTAACACAATCAGTGTGGATATACAGACTGAGTATATTATAGTGATGATAACTGGACATGTGTGTCGTATCAACACCATCAGTGTAACTGGACATGTCTGTGGTATCAACACCATCAGTGTGGATATACAGAGTGAGTATATTATAGTGATGATTACTGGACATGTGTGTCGTATCAACACCATCAGTGTAACTGGACATGTCTGTGGTATCAACACCATCAGTGTGGATATACAGAGTGAGTATATTATAGTGATGATAACTGGACACGTCTGTGGTATCAACACCATCAGTGTAATTGGACATGTCTGTGGTGTCAATAGCATCACCATCAGTGTGGATGTACAATGTGAGTATATTATAGTGATGATAACTGGACACGTCTGTGGTATCAACACCATCAGTGTGAATATACAGAGTGAGTATATTATAGTGATGATAACTGGACACGTCTGTGGTATCAACACCATCAGTGTAACTGGACATGTCTGTGGTGTCAAGAGCATCACCATCAGTGTGGATGTACAGTGTGAGTATATTATAGTGATGATAACTGGACATGTCTGTGGTGTCAACAGTAACACCATCAGTGTGGATGTACGAAGTGAGTACATTATAGAGTTGATAACTTTGCAAGTCAGTACAGTAATGTCAACAGTAACACCATCAGTCTTGATGTACAGTGTGAGTATATTGTAGTGATGATAACTGGACATGTCTGTTGTGTCAACAGTACCACCACCAGTGTGGATGTACAGTGTGAGTATATTATAGTGATGATAACTGGACATGTGTGTGGTGTCGAGAGTACCACCATCATTGTGAATGTACAGTGTGAGTATATTATAGTGATTATAACTGGACATGTCTGTGGTGTCAACACCATCAGTGTGCATGTACAGTGTGAGTATAGTACAGTGATTGTAACTGGACATGTCTGTGATATCAACTGTAACACCAAGAGTGTGGATGTACAGTGTGAGTATATAATAGTGAAGATAACTGGACACGTCTGTTGTGACATCAGTAACACCATCAGTGCGGATGTACAGTGTGAGTATATTATAGTGATGATAACTGGACATGACTGTGGTGTCAACAGTACCACCGTCAGTGTGGATGTACAGTGTGAGTATATTATAGTGATGATAACTGGACATGACTGTGGTGTCAACAGTACCACCGTCTGTGTTGATGTACAGTGTGAGGTTGTTCCCGGTATTTGGACAGCATCGCATGAACGCAACCATCAACAATAGCGTGCGCCTGCACGTGGACTTGTCAGCTGTGTCGTGTGATTGTTTCTCGATTGTAGTCAGTCTCGTCTTTGTCTTCGTCAAGTAAACGTCTGTTATTTGTACACCTGTGTTGCGTGTTATGTGGGCCTGAAGACCTTACAGTGGTGGCAGCGGTGGGATATTGTGGACACATGGAAGGACTTTGAAGGAAGTGGGACTTTCAGAAGAATTTCACGGAATGTGCTCATGGAACTGTGACGTGAGTTTGTTCCATTTTGCCATTTTGACCTTGTGGTTGAACTTTTTCGTCTTCTGTGTGAATGACATTGAACATTCAAGCAAGAATACTCTTCATTTCATCATGGCTGAAGGTGGTATAAGTCAAGAACATTCTGGCGATATCAAGCATTTCAAAATTCCTCTGTTTGATCCCAACCGGTCAACCTTTGCGAACTTTATTGAAAATGTGTATGAAGTGAAAGCTTGGGGCCTAAACTGGAACTCTGATAAAAAGTTACGTGGCTTAGCTTTAGTACTTCCTGCAGGGTTTTGCTCACGAGTATTCAACGATGTTTCTGATGAAAACAAAACTGATTATGCAAGTCTGAAAGCCGCTTTGATTAAAGAACTTCATAGAACCCAAGAGCGTACTCAAACTGCTGCAAGAGAGTTCAGAGACATGTGTCAAAACCCCATGAATCCATTGATGATTAGTTAAATATGTATTGGAATCATATGCCAACAGGATTTGACATGACACAACTTATAACATAACGATTTCTTCCTCGGAAGCGAGGTGGGGGTCGAAGTGACATACTGCGCAATAAATATCTTGCTACATTCCCATGGTTAATGTCCACTCACCAGTATGTAGATACTAGTCAAGGTGCGTCTTTCTATTTGGTCTTATAATCCTAATTAGTTTATTATCAGGCGATCTGCCTTTACTTATAACTTGAATATCTAGACATTTTAAATCATAATTCGCACACACGCCCTAGTGTATGTTGTCTGTCTCATTACTTCACGACGAAATCATGGATTCTGTGGAATGCTGCGACAAATGAATAAAAACAAAATGCAATTATTAAAACTAAAACAGGTAGTTGTAATGATGTCAGGCTATTACTTTGTTCGGGGAATGTATCCATCAATATTCACAAAAACGAGCCGTATGCCATTCACCTGCAGCTGTTCCAAATGATGTGTCTTTTAACAGTCTAATACATGTTCACGAAAAGTGATATATCGTTTCAGGTATTTCACATTGGTATATAGTCGCATTGGTCACCCAAGATAGCATACCTGGGAACTAATGGCATAATCTCCGCCATTCTTTACAAAAAGTAATTTAGTTAGCCAATAATGAGAATCAATGTCTTGGCGGTTAATCCTTTGAAAGAAGGAAGTTGTTTTACGCAGACACAGACACGACAGAGTGTATTTAGTATTGATTAGTAAATGTACATACATAAACACTACCTTTTGACAAATCCGCTGTGTAAGATAAAAGTATGGGTTAATCCTTTGATCGATGTTTATACTGTTGAGTATTTAGTCCAGACACAAGAAATGCCAAATGGGAACCTTTGTCGGGTTATCTAAGTGGTGTTACCACTAATTATACCTGTTATAAATTCATTAAATGACCATCAAGTGAATGATGACAAATGACATGTGTAGGTTTATACCACCTAACACGGGTTACAAGGGAGTATTAATTGCTGTACTGCATGCAATTTTAATTGCATGTGAAAACCTATGGGCCGACACTATTTTGAGAATACGGACAGAACTTCATTGTTGCAAAAGAAATACATATAAGCATTTGCTTTGTGCTAAAACTGTATTTACCTATTTACCTAAGTAAATTTTCAGAGTCTTCTAGCAATAGCAAAGTGCAAGGATGTGTTAAAAAGGAATAACGCAGTCAAACAGTTGCTGTTCGAATTGCATGAAATATGCAAAAAGCATGACATATTCAAGAACAATGTTTCCAATTTTGGAAATATGAGATTTCCAAAAATGTACAATTTTGGAAATGTCCACAAGGGGAGATAACTGGTGGGTGATGGTAAATTATTGTTCTTTGCACGCCCCAGGAGTTAATCCCTTGTTGATTGATGAGTGAGTCAAGGCAGTTAAGAGTCACCAATTAACAAGGCCTACTTAATTAACACGTTTTTATGCCTCTTAAAGAAGTCTCTGGAAGTAAGTTAAATCTTTGATGGGCATTAAGAAGTGGAATGCATTACTGTGACCTGATTTTCACCTGATGAAGGAGCAAGCATATGCTCCGAAACTTCGTGTTATTCACAATAAAGAAGTAGACATCCATAAATCTGGTTTTTCTTATTAAAAAGGTAAGTTATTAAAATCTGCTGAGCTGTAGGTTTGTTAATCATGTCGCGATGTGAATATCGCTCTAACACACCTGAGAGATTCGTCAACAGTGTGGTATGCAAAGGCGGTGAAAATTGTATTGTATTACATTGGGTTGGTTGCATATTGTTAACATTATTCCATGGTCAATATCGCAATGTTTCTGAAATGGTAGTATACGGAAGTTTGTCCCACATTTTTGATAATTTATAGAGTGATTCTTATCAAATTAGATATTTCTTTATCGTCCGAACAGAATTCACAAATTACGGATGTTTTGTGTGTGTGTGTGTGCATGCATGCGTGTATAACATCTATAACTTGATAGGTATTAATTAAAATCAGGCCGCGGCCGGTTGTAACCATAATGACTATATTGGATGGAACACTCCAAGAACAAAAATAATTTCACTCTTCAAAAGGAACTGGAACAGTAACATTTTTCATGTTTTCATATGAGCTTCAAAACATTGAATGACATAAATGCTGTATGATGAAATGGATCAGAGAACATTAGAATGGCATACGTGACGTGTGAAAGACACGTGTAATGGTCAAAAATATATAATCACTATGTTAGTTGACTCATGACCAGACACGTCAAACTAGTACCGATAGATTTATATCTAATATGTAAAAATTCAGTATTTCTTAGTACCTGAAATAGAAAACACGACTTTGGAATGAGATGTTTTAATCTGAGATTAATCTGTTAGGTAGCAGTTTACTTAAGTAGAACTTAAATCAACTTTAAAAGATTGGTCATTCGCAAAGTGAAGCAGATTTCACTTATACTGAAGTAAACAGTATGGGGATACACAACGAAACATACCACTTATGTGATAACAACTCCCTGTTTATTGCATAGAGCGGCATGTCGATGTACAACGTTCAGGATAGACAAGCTAATTGAATGTTGATTGATTCCATCACTTGGACAAAGGAGTGGATTTAGACTTGTTGATCTTACTCTCCTCATGCCCCCAACGATGTGCTACTTGCTGAATCACCTGGTGTTAATTTGCTGCTAGTCACTATGCATATATACTTCTGTTCACCTGGTAACTGTTATCTTGATAACGGCGTGAGAATATACATGGAAACTCCCCTCTAACGACCTTTGGTCCAAACAGATGAGTTAAGAGAAATGTTGATGTCCCGTCCGTTAGCAAATTAACATTGGATTATAGAGACAATGATAGCCCTACGTGTTGATAGAAGAGGATATTCCGGATTATGCGAATGAGAGCACACCTAATGAGAAAACGAGCCAAATATTTGTATAAAGATAGTGTTTCATTTCAGTCTCAGCATATAAACATTGAAATATAAAACACATAAAAAACATAGAAGGCGTAAGCCACGAGTGGTAACGGGAGACTATATGGACAGATTTTATTTAATCATGTTACAACATGCTACATATTACAGGATTTTTTTTATAAATAGTTATATTACATCATATTATGAAATGTTTCAAAATATTACATAATTATAAATATACATACACATTTATAAGTACATTATAAATATATTAAAGATGTGAAAGAAGAGACGCTGAATCAGCAAACTGTCTAGCAGTTAACATTCCATTTTATTTTGAAACTGGTGTCTCAGTTCTGGAAGATGTCGTTCAAGGTATCGGTATTTCTTCGTTGTGGGTTGTCTTTGGCCTTCGGCAACGAGGTGTAGGAATAAACTTATGTTCAAGTTGAGCATTAGCCATTTCGAAATCGAATGTACACTTTCATGCTTCTTCTCATTACATGTATATATCCCAATGTAATTAGAGTTGAGTTGAGTTGAGCTTTACGTCACTTCGGCATTTTTCCAGCCATATAGTGACGAGAACAAGTTTGCATTAGTAAATATTGTAAGTACATACTCGGAATGAGTTTTGTTTCAAAGACATTTATTGATTACATTGTCATTCAAAAGCAGAAAAAGTCATAGCATCAAATTTAAAGGCAGGCGGTTTGTTACATTTCATAGTTACAATTTATGGTTGTTACATTTCACAGTTACAATTTATGATACAGATCAACTTCCCTCAGGTAGTTCAGTATCAGATGGGCGCTCACGCGTGAGAACAGATCTTTTAGGTTTGTTGCATCATAATGTGAGTCCCTTGCAGGCGATAAGTCCACGCAGTCAAGCAGAATATGCTTGACGGTGATCACCTCATCGCAAGAGACACACATGGGGGGTCCATCCCCATCCGTTTTCAGCAGATAGTCATGTGTAAATCGACTGTGGCCAATACGACATCGTTGTAGAATTACCTCATCGCGTCTTGACTGACAACCCAAGTAGGTATAACCGATTGTTGGCTTCAATTCATGGAGTTTGTTTCTTCCTACTTGAGTGTCCCACCTTTTTTGCATCAGGTCCCGAGTATAGCTTTTGATAGTGGGTTTGAAGTCACTGTATGGGATTAGCAGTGGAGATAGGGGCTTTTCGAGAGCTGCTTTGCTGCAGCATCGGCCTTAGTGTTACCTGCTATGCCGACGTGACCCGGCAACCAGCAGAGGATGATGTCATATTGGCCAGTAGAAAGGTCGTTGTACAGTTCTAATATGTCCAGGATGATTGGGTGACTTGAAGTCACATTTAGAAGTGCTTGAAGGCAGGATAATGAATCTGTAAATACGATGAAGTTTTTGGACTGATTTTGCTGTTGAATGTAGGTCAAAGCTGAGAAGATAGCTTTGGCTTCAGCGGTGAAAATGGAACTGTTGTCGGGGATCCTAGAGGGAGACAGTCTTGGCTCCAATGACTGTAGCGCTGGCAACTTGGCCATCGTCCTTGGATCCGTCTGTGAAAATGGATCTGTGAGTGTTATACTTAGAACGTAACTGGTTGTATTCCTGTTGGAACACCAAGGGATTAGTTTCAGACTTTTTGAGTTTGGTGAGGGT